TTCTAGAATGATTAGATATTTTTGAACTAGAAGCATTTATAACTTTGAAAAATGTAAGTGCAAGGTACAAGCGGCTATAAGCACTACTGGTGTAATTATTTAAGGCATATACCTCTGGAAGAGATACAAAAAAGTGATCTTGATTGTGCTAGATTGGAGAGATTACTGGGAAAGTTTACTCTGTTGTAGTCTTACGCAGCAGCTGCGGCAAGAAAGAGTGGGAAATGAAGGCAGAGATACAACAAGTTGGGAGGAAGTCTGGATGGGCTGTGCCCATTGATCAAGAAGTTTGAGCCCTTGATCACAAAAGTGATCCTTTCTATCAGAAGGAATCATTATCATAGAAAGTGAACTTATAAACATGAAATAGCCTAAGGCTCAGGTAGGAATCTACAAACCTGGATTAGGGTATTATCCTTAAAGGAGCCCTTTATCTGATCTGGCAAATGGCTGACTGGAGAACTCGGGCTACAGTATTCTTCCTGGGAAGGTGGCCATCTACTTACTAACCCACATCTGAACTAACTAGCAGGGTCAGCCCTCCCGTCCATCCAGACAGCCATCCAGCCGTGCCACATTTTTGAGCCCCAGCTATTGGGCAGACACCGTGCTGAGTGCTGTGCCCCTGCTAAATGAAATCTAAGAGCACCCTGGAAACCCAGCTCTAAACTTCCCTCCCCTTCCCACCCTGCCGGTCTCACCTTATAGCATATAGGCTAGGAGCTATGAGATGGTGAGAATTCATATTTTCTATTCACTTTCACCTTCCTAAATATCTACTTTTCCTTCACCTGCCTAAACTGTGTGCTCAATATCAACACATTTTTTAAGTTCAATACAATTTTATTTAAAAATGTACAAGTTTATTTAAAAACGTGTACAGCTGAAAGAGGGATCTGATCTTTCATTTAAAAAAGCCAATTTTCACAGAATATATTTGGCTGTTTTAGCTTTGTAGTGAGTAATAACAGAAAAAGAAGTCTCGTTCAAGATCCTCACTCCGGCACACTCAGCCAGGTACTTGGCAAGACGACACATGCACCTTTTAACTCGTAACAATTGCAATGATTAAATACTTGAAATGTATGAGATGCTCCATTTAATGGAACAACTCATATGTTAAAAAATTAGGTCAAGTAACATGCTTTCATATTTATAAATGTTACTTAAAACTTACGGAGACAAGATATACAGCACATTCTTGGTATTAGAAGAAGGCTACTTGATGGTCAAAAACATTTTAAAAAGACAAGAAACCATACATATTGGTATACAACAATGTCTGCAAAGGAATGTCATGTTTTAAATTTTGTTAACTGAAATTAAACCTGAAAAAAAAAATCCAAAGGTCTACAAAACCAACACCCATGTCATTTTAAATGATGAGGTAGATTGTTTCCTATGCAGTAAAGTTAAGATAACAAAAAATTCCATACAACTCTCAAATCCTCTTTAAAAAAATATTCAGGTTATAGTCACTTTCACAAACAAGACATCTATAAACTATCAATATATATCTATATAATATCTAACTATATAATATATATCAATATCAATTTATAAATATCAGCACCTTTTAATCAAGTTCTTTTCTAGATAAATGTGGATACGTCAACAGGGCCTCCCTTGGGTATTCTGTGCTTATCCCTTGAAAGCTTCTATTTAATGAGAGACTCCCAAGCTGTTTGGCAAAACAAGGGTAATTAACAGGGCAGCTGTTCTTCTGACACCCAATAACGTTGATAACAAGAAAAGAAGCCTAATTTGGGTCAACAGAGTCTACAGGCATGACTGGGGCCTGGGTTCTCATCCTGTCTTCATGAACATAGTTGTTTATTATTCTCTGATTCAGTTTCCCATTCCTTTTTCCCTCATACAATCTGTAAGAGAGTTCCTCAAGGGAATATTTTAAAACATTATTTTATTGATGTTTATTTTTTTCTTTGATGGCTACCAAGTTGCCTGTACCATTGCAAGTGTGTGTTCAAAAATATTTGTTTGAATAAATGAATTGAGTAAACTCAATCCCCTTGGCAATTACATGAACATAAAAATCCACCCCCACCTAGGTTCTGTTGGGGGACATTTGGGAGTTCCATTGTCTTTTACTAACTAAGTTCTCTGTTCATTTCTACCCTTCCTGATTCTATGTCACACTTCTCTGTTGATTTATTTTTTCCCCCTCCTGGCTCTGCATCCATTCATTCTTTTGAATATTGCCTTAAAGCTGTAGTTATCAGCACCCAGTAATAGCTCACATTATGTAAGATGATTTTGTCAAAGTCTCTAAAAATTTCCAGAACAATAACAACTTAAATTCCCATCCATTCAAAACTAAAGAAATAAACCATATTTAATTTGGGTGGAGGGAATTGGAGAGGAATTAGGGAATCAAATAAACAACAGGACGTTGCAATTTCCAGAAAGCTGGGAAATGTCTGCCCCAGAGGGTGGGAAAAAACCCATATGCTTGTATTAGTTCTGGGCCCAGTCATCTGCAGCAGACCCTGATCGGAATAAATCTTGTTAAAACAATACTTTGCAAGGGTTGCTGCTTACCTGGTTTTGTCCATTTTGGGTACTGTAATCACAACAGTCAGAGTCGCAAAGTGGCCTCATGGGTCAGGCGGTCATTGAACAATACTCGGAAAGGTTACTAAATTCAGTAATTCTGAAGTCAACAAAAAATTCCTGAGAAACAACTGAACGTTTGGATGCCTAGAAAGTTAGAAACTATTCATTCTACTCTCATTCTACTAGCGGTGACACTCAAGAAGTATATCAGAAACTAGCTTTTTTCTCTTCTCAACATCCAGAGTAAAACATTTTCTATCTCTTCTCCAGTTGTTACTTTTTGAGGCATCTCTGTTCCCTAAACTGGTAACTACCATCCTCCCACCCCCACTACCATGCGCCCAGGATTGGGCCCGCTGCAGCCATTGATTACATGACCTTGCTATCTGGGCAGAGCTACTTGGACATGGATAGTCCTTTTCTGGGTTTAGCTGCATTCCCTGCCCCGCATTTCACTCTATTTATCTGAATTTAATCTGAGGAATATAATACAATCAAACAAAACTATTTAAAATGTTGGCTACTTTGCAACATTTCTTTCAATGATTATTTAATGTTTGCATCAATTACAACAGAATGAAAGGAATTGGTTGGGCTTAATAATTCCCTTTCAGTAGCATAGGTTGAGTCTCCCTATTCCAAAAGTCTGAAATCCAAAATTCTCCAAAACCTGAAACTTTCTGAGTACCAACATGATGCCTGAAAGGAATGCTATTGTAGCATTTCAGATTTCAGATGTTCAGATTAGAGATGCTCAACCAGTAAGTATAATGCAAATATCCCAAAATCTGAAAACAAATCCAGAGTCTTCTGGTCCCACGAATCTAGGATAAGGGATGCCCAACCTATATTATGTTTAACATAGGTCTCTCTCTCTCTTTTTTGGGTCATTTACATTTACTTATCACTTGGCTAATATATAGAAAGAGATGATTGTTTTAAGGAGAGCTCAAAGGTAATATACTTTCTGACTCCATGCGTAGTTTGAGAATGTCTTTCCGTGAATGTCACACATAAGTGACACTTTGGCTGGATACAGGTATCCCATTGTCAGTTCACCGTTTTGGAACAGAGTGCTGAAGAGAAGTCTGTTCATTCTTCTATAGGTAGCTTTTTTATTCTCTGTATTCTTGTAGGCATTTCTGCCTGAACATCTACCTAATTTTGAGTCTACTCTTGAAATTCGAATTCTTTTCCCAGCTAAGATTAAACACTGATCTCTTTAAAAAAGTTTTTCTCTGGTGCTGAAACTGACACTACTGTCTAAACTTTCTTCCAATTATTATTTATCACAGCTACTCCCTTACCTTCTAGGATTCTCTATGTTGCTTATATTTTACTGTTTAGTTTTAAATATATTTTGTGTGAATGTGTTTGCTTTAAAATATAGTGTATTGAGAGAAAGTTTGAAGTATAGCAGTGCCAACAGATCAGGGTAAGATTTAGCCATTGAAGAGGCAGTTTGTCATTCACAGTTCCCAGGAGGAGGGGCACACCGCACATGGGGAAGCACCAGGGCGGATTAGGAGGACAGGAAGACGGGTGAAGTGGGGACCAGAGCTTTTATTATTATTTCTACAGGAAGGAATGGGCGAGGCAGAGCAAGCAGGCTTAGGATTTACTAGCTTGAAAAATTTCAGCAGACTCTAGAGCACAGAAAATGTCCTCAGTGGTGTTTTGCCCTGGGGGTAATAGGGCAGGTGGGTGGATAGAGTGTGGGCTTTGTATTGGTTGATTTATGTATGAAGTGGGTGCTCACAGGTGAGTTGTTTAGTATCTCTAGGAATTTGTCAACCTGGAGGGTTAGAGCAACGGTGTCCGTCTAGAGCAAGGGTGTCCAATCTTTTGGCTTCCCTGGGCCATACTGGAAGAAGTGAAATTGTCCTGGGCCACACATAAAATACACTAGGATGGCTGATGAGCTTAAAAAAAATTGCAGAAGCTCATAATGTTTTCAGAAAGTTTACGAATTTATGTTGGGCTGCATTAAGAGCCATCCTGGGTGACTTGCTGTCTGCAGGCCGCAGGTTGAGCAAGCTTGCTCTAGAGTCAGCAAGGACTCAGATGTCAAAGATTTAGAACACAGAAAATAAAAGACATGATTAATACAGCATTCTGACAGTGTTCCTCTTTTTAGTTTATTTCACCTGTTTGATATTTGATAGCACCATTCCTGTTTTTGCTGCCTCTCTGCTGTTCTTAATTTAACAATCCTGTTTGTCCTCTCCATTCATTGTTTTATGAGTTCAGAAAGTTTCCTTCTCTGGATTTGTAGATGTAAAGTTCTCCTAGATCATCCTGAGGACCTGAAGTTGACGATTTCCAAATTGTTCTTGTGTTTCTTATAGTAAGTAGTATTTTAGGAGACCTTTGTTTTAACCACCGGGAATGTGCTTCTTACCATTAACCGCATTATCTTTTAGCAGGTCTGGTGGTTTTCTGTTTGGTCTTCCTGCTGAAGCAAGGTCTGCACCTATGTCAGTCCCTGTCTGTGTCTGGATGGTTCACTGTTCAAATCTTCAGGCTCACATAAAAGGAGAAAGGAGAGAACAGATACATTTTAGGTAACTTTCCTTTGCCAGGTCAGAGACTCACAAATGGAAGAGAAGGAAGGAACTAGAATTTGAGCTATTTATTGCTCTAGCAGTCAGGAATTTGCTGGGACATGTTCCTTCCATTGCCCCGTGTCCCCCACATTAAATCCAGGTATAACGTCCCCCAGCTCTCCAGCTTATACTGACTGAGAAGAAGAGCCACTCTCGGGAGTGGAGAGGGTAGGGACAAGGAAGGACTCAGGAACACTGGTTGGAAGTCCACTGCAGCAATGCAGGCCAGAGGGAGTGTGAGCCGTCAGATTCTGGATAGATTTTGAAGCAGAGTAGAAAGGATTTGCTGATTGGGATGTGGAATATGGGACTCTAGAATTTTTTCATTTTTTTCATGAGCAACTAGAAAGAATGAGGTTGACATAGGAACTGAGATGTGAAGGACTGTGCGGAGAACATATCTGTGGTAAAAATTGAGAGTTCGGCTCTGGACATGCAAAATTTGAGAGGCCTATAGAATGTCAGGGGAGATGTGTAGTGTGTAAGCGTGAAATTTGGAAGGCAGGTCTAGACATTAACATGGATGTCTTCCTCCTTTAGATGCCTTCAAAGCCGTGGGATAGGGGTGAACATGGAAAGCACCGAGAAGTCCTAAGAAGCCAGTGCTTGGAAATTAGAAAGAGGAAGAGAAACTCACAGATGACACTGAGGCTGAGAAGGAGCAGCCCATCAAGTGCTATAGGAGACTCTGAGTGTGAAAAACCCAAAGGTTAAGTTTTTTTTTTCTATTCTCTTATCAAAAATAATCAACACAGAAGAATTCTGTGACCCAGTATGTGAGGATTTCTTCCTACCAACAAGCATGGAATCAACTCTGCAGCAGTTATCAGCGGGTCATGTTCCAACCCAACTCCATTCTGACCATGTCTATCTGGAGGTAGCATCAGATCCCACAGGTTGAGGGCTCCGTCCACAAGCCTGCCCCTTGTTTTCGATGTCTATCAAAAGCCCAGGTTGGGGTGGGGCCGAGTCACCCATCTAATCCTGCTGTGGTCTTTCAGGTGATCAGCCCCCTTCCTGAAGCTACGTAGGGGCCGACAGCCATTGGTCAACTCATGAGCATCCAAAAAGATATCACTTTGGAGACTCCAGGGATTTTAGGATTTATATACCAGGAAGTGGGACAAAGACCAAATACATGCTTCACAATAGCACAGAGACCAAAAGTGCGGGTGTCCTAAAGACCCAGAGAAGAAAGTCTTTGGAGGAGGCAACAGCCATCAAGACTGGGACACTGACCCCTGGATTTAGCAACGGACAGGTCTGGGTATCTGGACAAGAGCAGACTGGGAAGAATGAAGGCATAGTCAGGGTGGGTTTATGGCATGATAGAAGGAGATGCAGTGGAGTGGGCAGCTGTCAGTCATAACTAACCTCAGGAATGCAGCCGAGGGAAGCAAAGAAAGATGCAGCAGTGGGAAGAGGTCACAAGATTGGGAGGGTTTGTTGTTACTGTACTGTCATTATTGCTGTGAGGAAGAGGGCGATTGCTGTCCATTTATTCAGCAGGGAGGGAGAAGCCAATGGCAGGACAGATTGAAGGATGTTGTCCTGGAAACAGAGAGGCAGGCCAACTGGGGATTTCACAGGGTGATGTGCAGGACTTCTGATGCTTCTTTTTTTCTTAGGGAAATTCAGAATAAGGACAAGATCTGACAGTGAAGGATGGAAGGGTCTCTCTGTGTGTCCCGCAGGACCTACCCTACTCCTCCAGCCCCGGGAAGCCAAACCTTGCCACGACCCCTCCTCCTTCAGGACTGTTTCTTTGCTTCTCCCTTTCCTGAAAGTCAAGTCTTTATGGGTTGAGTCTTTACCAGTTGGTAATTTCCAGAAAGTCCCCTTCTTGCTGATGCCCTTTGCAAATTGCTACTGTCTACTTTATGTGTTAACAGGATTGATGCTTGATGTGTCAAATCTCTTTCTGTCCTGTGCTGTCATGACACGTCTTTAAAGGAAGACTTCATTCAACTCAATAACCCAAATCAGAAAGTTTTCATTGAGTGCCATGAATGGGCCCCACACTTCTAGCCCAGAGTCCCAGCTAACCGAAGGTGCCCCCACCCAGCACCATCAGGTCTTTTGTGCAGCACAGGTAAATGCCCCTGGGAGCAGCAACTGTCACTGACATTCTCTCCTGCACTTTACCACTCAACCAACACATGCTCTTGTCACCTGGGTGTCAGGAACAGTCACAGTAGCCCCCATTGTGCTTGGGAGGTCATAGCCTTTGAGGCAAAAAAAAAAAGAGAAGAAAGAAAAATAAAGTTGGATGTCTTCTTCCCACTTTGCTCCTGGTTGGTTATTTTGCAGGTAGAAGGCACACTTTATATTTTAAAGAAAAGTAAAGCTTTAACTGCTTCCTATGTTTAAACCTCTATGACAAATTTAGTCAGAGATTTAAAAAGCACCATTAAAAAAATAGGCTATAGAGATGCGATCCCTGTCTGTACCTACTTACCACTGCTGGCTGCCGTCCAGAAAACGGGAAACTGTGTCCAAACTACATTTTTGGAAAAGGCTATCCTTGATGATATACAATATATCCTTTTGTTCATTATTGAGACCCAAAGGTTAAGGCGTTTGAGAATGCTTCTTTTAAGTAATTGAGCAAGAAGGAGGGAGAGAAAGAAAGAGAGGAGAAAATATAAGATAATCTGATTGATTAGGGGCAAAAACTTTCTAGAAGCTCTGCAAAGAAAAAATATGAAGATAATAAAATAGCTGTTGGAAAATAAATTCATTCTGATTGATTAGAAATTACTTAATTTGCTAATAAAACAGCTACACTGTAGCTACCATTATGATTGATACTATTAAAAGGAAATTCTTAACTTGTAGGCACTATTATTACCAGTTATAGGTTTTCGTGTGTGTGTTTTTTTAAGTCAAATAACAAAAGCATGGGAGGAGCAAATTAAAGTACCAGAAAAAGGAAAATCCAATTACTGACTAAATTGTCCACAGGATGATTCTTTTCCCACCCCCTTACTCCTCTTTTTTTTTTTTTTAAGAGTATGTTTCTTCCATCCAGGTTTGTTCCAAATTAAATCGTGGTTTTTATCCATGTAAATGCAGATTCCTGAAATGCAAATAATGTGAAATTAACAAAGAAGAAACCCTGGCCCTGAAATTACACAATTAGTGAAATTGTCTTTGCTCAGGAGTGCGGGGTATTGGAAGTGTAATAACATGGAACAGAGCAACTGCATCATACCTCTCCATGGCTGCTTTAGGGAAAATTGGTTGCATGTTAACTTGGGACTTTACCACGGCAAAGGAAGACTCTGTCAACAAGCACAGGCAGTGTGCAGTTCCCACGCACACACCTTGTGCCACTCAGTGCTGGGTTTTCATCAGCTCTGCAAGAAGCTACTGAGGGCGCGCTCTGCCACACCTGGGGTAGATGTTGAGTGGAGGTGGGGAGGTGATTGACAAGTCCCTAATTCCTAGCATCTCACAGTGAGGAAGGGAAGATTGATGTGTGTGCAAATGACTATAAACAGGGATACAAATTTTAATGGAAATGAAAATGCAATGAGGGAGAGAGAGATTGTGATGTGCTCCACCGGTGGAGGAGGCACAATTTGAAAAGAGCTTTGAGATGTTAGTGGGTCTTTGACAAGCACAGGTGCTCAAGATGGAAATGTAGCCATTCTATGATAACTATATTTTCTAGTCCTGAGCGGGTGTATATGTGAGGGAAGGGGGCTTAAGGATCTGTCAACTAAAGAATGATGACGTTCATAAATCAGGGAATGTATTTCTTATAAAAGGGTGCAGCCTGCAGGGTGGCCATCCTGACAGGCTGGGAAGCAGAGTCCCCGGCCAGGCCAGGGCGGGCCAGCCTGACACTGTGAGGAAGGGACAAAGGGAACAGGAATTTATGCTGAGCAGGGTGGCCGTATATATACATATACATGTGTGTATATATATTTAATAAGCTCTAGGAAGAGTCATGCCTATGAAAGGAGAAACATGCAGGTGAGCAGTTGAGCTTCATACCCCTTCATGGGTCCCAGATACAAAAAATAGCTGCATTAGCATGACCTGCAGGAGGAGTCTTGGCCCTCTGGTGGCCAAAAGTGAAGCAGAGGGCACAAAAACGTACTGTGGTGCATTCTTCATAGACTAACCAGAACTATTGCCTGGCCAGTGGTCTCTTATCAGTCAAAAAAGCAGGGGTAGCATCTGGCAGTTTGTCAGTATCAGTGGTGGAGTCTTTAGAAAGGGCTTGTTTCTGTCAAGCCCTTAGAGAAGAAAGCCTAATTGTGATTAGTAAGGGAGGGGGTATAACAAGGTGCGTCTGAGCCCCTATCCGCCATGGCAGATAACTCAGTTTTCAAGGTGACTCTGGGTTCTCTTGGCTAGGAGATAGTCCATTCGGTCCTTTGGGGGACTTCAGATTTTGTTTTTAGTTTATAGATTACCTGATTTAGCAGTCCAATTATATCAAAATTATATCCCTCTTTCTGCTCTGTGACCCTTGAGCCAGTAGCTATACGGCTACAGCTATTCCAGACATCATATCTAGACCCAACTGATGAAAAAAGAGCTATGGTCTCCTCTGGAAGTGCTTTCTTAGGAGAGAGAAACTCCTGGAGATCTTTATCTCACTTCTTCTTTAAAAAGCTTTTCTTTCTTTCTTTCTTTCTTTCTTTCTTTCTTTCTTTCTTTCTTTTTTTCTTTCTTTTTTTTTTTTTTGAGGCAGAGTCTCAAACTGTCGCCAGGCTAGAGTGCAGTGGCGTGATCTCGGCTCGCTGCAACCTCTGCCTCCCAGGTTCAAGTGATTCTCCTGCCTCAGCCTCCCAAGTAGCTGGGAGATTACAGGTGCCTGCCACCACACCCAGCTAATTTTTTTGTTTTTGTATTTTTAGTAGAGATGGGGTTTCACTATGTTGGCCAGGCTGGTCTCAAACTCCTGACCTTGTGATCTGCCCACTTCCGCCTCCCAAAGTGCTGAGATTACAGGTGTGAGGCACGGCGCCTGGCTATCTCACTTCTTATTGTTGGGAGTGGGGTCGCATGTCTACTTTTGAATCAACCCTGGCAACAGGAAATGACATCATTGTCCCCAACTGGCTCTTCTTTGGAGCTAGTGGTGGAATCTGCACCTCCTGAGGCAGAAGGCTGAACAAGGAATGGATAGATACCTGAGCACAATTGAGGCTCTGACTGCAAGGAAGAAAGAGAAAATTTGTGTTCTGTTTGCAGCCAATAGTATCTATTGATAGGCAAATGATGATCACTTGACTTGGAAATAGGAATATCCATTCTGTCCTTGCGATCAGTGTTCCCAAATTCAGCTTCCTCTGATTCAGTTGAAGACCTGCAACAGAAGATGCTGACTCAGCATATCTGAGTGTAACTGAGCACAGGCTAGGCTGCTGGCTGCTTCCAAAGCCAGTAACAAGGATGAAGTGCAGTGAAAGGAAAGTGACTTTAGTTCCAAAGCTAGCACTGGGAGTGGGGACATTGCCAAGGCTTATGCTCTAAGAGAACCATTTCCGAAGTTTGGGCTGAGTGCAGGGGTTTAAAAAGGGAATCTTGATATGGCAGGCACGCAGGAGTTGTGTGGGGGTGCAGGGGCTGTATGTCTTGTTTCAATGCCTGTCTTGAGTTACTGTCCACCTGGAGCATAGGCTGGTGCCATCTCCACAATGGACAGCCTTTAGAGCATCCAATCTTCAACTGGGGGAGAATTCCACAACTGGGCTTTTACACCTGGTTTGTTTTTAATTTGCCCCTGGAATTTCTTTTTTTTTTTTTTTTTTTTTTGAGACGGAGTTTTGCTCTTGTTACCCAGGCTGGAGTGCAATGGCGCGATCTCGGCTCACTGCAACCTCCGCCTCCTGGGTTCAGGCAATTCTCCTGCCTCAGCCTCCCGAGTAGCTGAGATTGGAATTTCTTAACAAACATATAGTTAGATAAATGTGCATGGCATGAGTTTAACAAGCAAACAGTTAGATAAATGTGTATGGGGTAATAGAGTGTATGGTGGGAAACGGAAGAGAGGGGATGTCAAAGTAAATTTCAAGGCTACTTTGTAAAACTAAGAGAAAAAAAGGTTTCTGCAGTTTGCTTCAATGTGACATCTTGAGACATGGGAGAAAGGAGAAAAAGAAGAAAAAAGAAATATTAGAATGTGTTTTGAAGCTAACCTGCTGGGTTGCATGAGAAGGGCTGCCTGAGTCCATGATGACTCATGGCTTTGTATGCTACCAGAATGATGTGGTGGAATGACTCAGCTCTCCTCACTGCCACTGCCAACTGCAACATGAACTCACTCAGCAAACAACAGGCAAGAGCTGGGCTGTGCAGATACTGTATAGGTGCTGGGGCTGAAGCAGAGGCACTCATGGGTATGCGTCTTCAGGGAACCTTATGCCCAGTGGAAAGTCATTAGCCTCAATAAAAAGGGATTCTACTAGAAGATAGTTACCAGTCAAGAATGGGTTGGAGAGCAGGTATCAGAAAACCTGACATTAGTGCCTTGAATACAGAGGGATAGTCCTTATTTTACTTACCCCATAAATGTGGAAGGAGAACATTCAAAGCTGGTGCAGCTAGTCATAAGTGCCATCAAGCACCTGGGGCACACTGACATCCAAGTGATCCTATGTAGCTGAGGAAGCGTGGTCTCACAGCAGGGCAGTGCCCAGAGAGACAGAGTGCAGTCCTTACCTGTCACTGTCCCCAAGATGGGGCAGTGAGATGCTTTCCACAGTGGCTACATCCAGGTCACATCCCACTTTTCCAGATCTTTAGATAACAACTTAACTCTCCCAACCAATTGCCAATCAGAAAATCTTTAAATCCACCTATGACCAGGAAGCTCCCCTCTCCCCAGCAGTGGACTGATGTTTGCCTGTAACTTCTGTTTATAGTGTAAAACTTACTGTCCCCACCCATCAAGTTATCCTTAAAACTTCAATCCCTAAATGCTCAAGGAGACTGATATGAGTAATAATAAAACCCCCGTCTCCCATACAGGCGGCTCTGTGTGAATTACTCCATCTCTATTGCAATTCCTCTTTCTTGATCAATTGGTTCTGTCTAGGCAGCAGGCAAAGTGAACCTGCTGGGCAGTTACATGTGTAGCCATATAGGCCAGGCTAAAATAGACAGGGACAGGCTGCAGGCTCAGCCTTCCCTCCTTGCTAAGGAATCTCTGAGCCCTCAAGCAAGATGTGAGAAAGTCCAGTTCAGTCCTTTCAAGATCCTATTTCTCCTCATCCTGGGTCTGTGTCCCAGTGAGTCTCCTCTGTGTTCTCTGGGACAAACCTGTTCATGAAAGGAGGCACTGAAATGATATTTTCCTATATTTTCCAGAGAGAGGGGTGTGGGGGCTGTGGTATTTTTAAGTCACATGTTGCAGCCCCTACTTCACCATTAGAGGCATGCAGATTATAATGCCTGGATGGGCTGAGCTGGTTTGAAGGACTCCAGGAAGGGCAGATGCTGGTGACTTCTATTCCTAAATTAGCAGTGTAAAGTCAATGCAATCTTGGTATTTAAGAGGATATGCCTTTCTCGGTGCATCTCCCTGAAGTGAAAGCTGCAGGTGCTTATTACCAGGGTGGCTTCCTGCATTTGTTCTGTGCATTCTTTCTCTTTGTATAGTTTTAGCGGTTGGGAAAGTGATATGGCCTGCTCGGGCATTTGACAGAAAGAGAGCAGATTCTAGGTCAGAGCACTTGAAAAGGGCTCTTCCACTTTGCTGAAGCCTTGGGCTGT